CGCGAGAAGTTCGCCAGCGCCGGGAGGTGGGGGTGCCCGAGCACGCGCGGGCCTTCGAGAGGCCGAAGATGGGGGGTTGCGCCGTGAAGTGTCAGCTGCTGCTGCTGGCCCTCCTCCTTCAGCCCTGGAGTCCCTGCTTAGGTGCAGACTCGGAGAAGTCCTCCAGCATCCCCACAGGTGAGCACTCCCGCGGTCAGCACCCGTCTGGTGAGGTTCGCTGGGGGCAGCCCATTCATCCTTCAGCTCTTGGTGCTGGCCTTGCCAGGTGAGTAGGTGGGTAGCCCGTCCCTCCCAGCACCGCAGGGGTCAGTGGATACTCTGTGCTCCCCAGGCCCTCCAAGGTGAGTGAGACAGACTGCTCCTCCGCCCCAGACCGCGTAGGACCCCTCCAGAACCGCTCTCCGTGTTGCTGGTCCCTGGGGCAGAGTGGGGGTGCCCGCCCTCGCTGCTCCTGGGCAGAGTTGGGGTGCCCGCCCTCGCTGCTCCTGGAGTTCCCAGTAACCTGAGCGCAAGAATTTTTGTACTGCAAGTCGGGATTTCCTTTTGGTCTTGCAGGTCCCTAGGCACCAACACCTTTCCTACAACTCTCCTTTCTCCTCCTTTCCTGGAGGTGCATGATTTATCCGTGTTGGACGAGGCAGTACTCCTTCCCTGACCTAAACAGTGTACTTTCTGATTGATGGTGACACATTCCTTCCAAGCGCCCCAGGAAGAAGCCGGTAACACATAACCTCTTGCCAAAAACAACGCTCAAAACTGGTTGTTTTCAGTAGGGCTGCCTAGCTACTCAATACCTTTAAGCAGAAGCTTTCCTCCTTGGGGATTTGAAGGGGAAGCTGTGGACACAGATTCTCCCCTTAGCCGCCCTTTTCCTAAACCTGGTGCCGGTTCTTATTTTCAGAAGCTGGAATTGCAGTGAATAGTCAAGTTCATGTAAAACAACACTTTTTACATTTAGCTAGATTAAAGACAGTCTCACCACATGTTTGTTTAAACATAACTTTGCTGCCATTTGTCACACATGAGGTATCCTTGCAGTTTTCCACTTTTGTGCTTTAACTATAGGATCAATTATCTGAAATTAGATCTTGCATGTAAATGTCCTGCTATACTTTATTTTTTTTTTAATTAGGATCATTTTGGCACTTTTGTTTTCTTTCTTTTTTTTGGTAAGTACATAGGCCACTTTTCTGCTCGAATTTTGCTTTTGTTGTGGAGTGCGAGTGACAGAATGACCAGAACTCCAGACTGATTGAAATTTAGAGAGCCTTTATTGACTGGCCAGTGTCCGCTACTCCACTCGGGAAGCACAAGAGAGAAGCGGCCCCGGCCATCTGCAGAGTCCAATATTTAAAGGGGACAACTACATTTGTGTTCAGGTTCCCATAGCAAGCAAAGCCAAGTTACAAAAGCTAATTGCGTAGTTTTAGCCAAGCTATTCATCATCCTCCTGTTATTCATTTCTGGGTAACTTAAAGGTAAGGACTATTCTTAATTTTGATCTGTTTGTTCTTTATGGGCCTGTTGCCCAGGAGTGTTGATCTGTTTGTTCTTTGTGGACCGTTGCTCAGGTGTGTGAGCTCAGTTCCTAGAAACTTTGTACAGGCTGTCAAGCTGCTGAGGTGGCTAGGTAATTAAGCAGGCCTAAAAATTTTCCTACTGTGTAACACTTTCAGGCTTAAACTCAGAAGTAATAGTTTTGTCTTTATCGTTAAAATCCTCACCTGAGGGGGGAGATATATATATATATATAAATAATTTTTTTATATTTAGAGAGAAAGGAAGGGGGAGAGAGAGAAACAGCAATGTGAGAGAGAAATATTGGTTGCCTTCCTTATATTTCCAACCACTCATGGAACCCACAAACTAGGTGTGTACACTGACCAGTAATCAAACCTGCACCCTTTTGGTGCACAGGAGGAGGATCCAAACAACTCTGCCACCTGGCCAGGGCCTATCTTCATCTTTAAGTGTTTAAAAAGACTTCAATGGGTAAACATGTTTCTACATTCCTGCTTTGTTAGCTTGAGAAACTTCACATTCAGATGGGTTTCTGTCTGTTAATACAATGCTTTTCTTTCTCTCAGATATATCTGATGGTTTCAAAATGGATTGCTAAACCCTGTGTGATTCCTTTAAATTTGAACTGAATTTTTTCATAACTTAAACTTTTTCTTTTAGAGTAACAGCTAGAAAATAGGCAAGTAAATGTCTTTAGCATACTTGGAAATTCACCAGAAAAATGACTTTCTTTGTGAAACACCCAAGGAATCTTACTGGGAAATAAAATAACCTCTAAGGACTTTGCTACTTTTATAGGGACCATTTCAGCCTTTGTCTATTTTATTTCATTTAATCACCAACACCCTTTACTTTTTATAGAAGACATTTTTTTTTGTTGTTGTTGCTGCCTTTAAGTTTACAGTCCAAATCACCTTCCTTTCCCATTCTGGCTTTTAAATTTCATGGAGCTGGACAGTAAAGTTTTAATGGACTATAACATCAGAGAAAGGGAATTTCAGATATGAATGTTTTCCTGAGAAAATGACCATATAAAACCCACTGCTGAAATCTGAGGACTGGTTGCTTTTGGTGGGTGGTCATGGGAAATTCAGTTAACTCCTAGATACAGAAAAATATGAATTTATAATACATAGAGCCAGCAGTAGCCAGTTTGGTTATGAACTTTTTTAAGGTAGATGTTATAAGCTAATAGATATAGATGGCACACTGATTGATACTATGGCTAGAATTCTGGGCTCCATTTTCTCCCTAAAATACTTCAAGTGAAAATTACTTAATTGGAAACTTTTATTTGTCTATGTAAATATCAAGTAAACTCTAGAACTCTAAGTTGTGTAGCTTCATAGGAGGTCTGTAAGAAGAGTACTTATCTCTAACTCCCTGTATTTGTCACCATGTCCCAGCTAGCTATGAAGAAGTAGTGTTTCTTGGCCCTATTGATATTTTGAGCCAGATAATTATATATTGTAGGTGCTGTCCTGTCATTGTACTTGGTTTAGCAGCTACCTTGGCCTCTACCCACTAGATGCCAAGAGTACCCTTTTCCAAGTGTAAGAACGAAAAAGGTCTCAAAATGAAAATTGGCCAAATGTCTCCAGAAGGGTTGAAAACCACTGGATTAGACAAATGTGTATGTGAGGCAATGTTGCATTATAGTGTTATTGGAATGATAATAGCAACTCTTTTTTATTAATAAATCTTTATTGTTCAGGTTATTACAGTTGTTCCTCTTTTTTCCCCCCTCATAGCTCTCCTCCACCCGGTTCCCACCCTGCCCCATGCCCTTACTCCCCACCCCCAACTGTCCTCGTCCATAGGTATACGATTTTTGTCCAGTCTCTTCCCTCACCCCCCACAACCCCTTCCCCTTGAGAATTGTCAGTCCACTCCCTTTCTATGCCCCTGATTTTATTATATTCACCGGTTTATTCTGTTCATCAGATTTTTTTAGTCACTTGATTTTTAGATTCACTTATTGATAGATATGTATTTGTTCAAAATTTTTATCTTTACCTTTTTCTTCTTCTTAC